CCTTCCGAGTAAATCGACACCTCCTCATCTCCACCGCTCCCATGTTTTTTATTTTTTTGCCATAAGTTAGTCTCCGTTGGTGCGGGGCTAATGCTAATAATGCTAATGCCAGCAAATACAATGGCGGCTTCAAAAAACTTTTCAGAGTTTTACTGGCCGTGGTTTGCAATTCGCCCAGCCAATCAGAAATTTGTACTTTTTTGGTACTTTTTTCGTACCACCCCTCTAGCAGGCACTAAAAATGGGGGTAAAAGTTCCCGGCACTAAATACTCTTTTTGGTGTGAACGCAACATAAGGGGTACTAACGGAATTAAGCGGGAAAAGTACGGGGTAAAAGTACTCCAGTGTGAACGTGCCTAAATTATTTTAGTTGACCTTTAAAACTGCTCAAAGTGGGACAATCCCGTATCTCAGTTGGGAGGCTATTCCACAATGAGCTGCCCTTCATTGATAGAACATTTTGTCCGAAAGTGGTCCGTCTGCGGTGGACCTCACAGTCTCCTCTGGTTTCTGACCTAGTGCAGCGTCCAGTGTGTTTTTTGTGGATGAATTCCCCTAAGGGGGATTTAATCATGGATAACCTTCATTTATTATAAGAAAAGAAAGAGGGTAAATGCAGAGAATCAGGATTGTGTCACACCAGGAAAGGTTGGCTTGTACCCGACCTAACTCATTACCTTATTGTGACTTTTAACCATTTCTAAAGCCGTGAGATACAACACATGAACCTTTATAAAGCTGTCAGAAGCTGGCACTAAGGTTGTTTTTGTGAGGACTGAATGGCTTCTTGTTGATGTATGGAGGTGCTACACATGGCACAGTGGTGTTGAATGACAAAACTTGACACTACACACTCATGAAATTGTTTAGGCAGGCTGACGTTGAAGAATAGTTTACACTTTGTCCTTTGTTCAATCTTAATGAAATGTTTTTGATATTTCTCAACAGGCACAGATCCACATGAGATATTGAAGGAGGAAGGGGGTTCCACATCCACGTCAACATACAGGACCACGTGACCGCACATCAACAGCTGGGACAACTCAACAACATCAATGTGGAAAATGGCTGTGATTGAAATGATTCAAATAATGCTCTTAATGCTCTCAATAATCTGCTTTTTTTTAGACCTGTCTTCTCCCTTTTTTAAAGCTGTTTTTAAATTGTTTAAACTGCAAAGAGATAGAAATTAAAGCACCAATGACCAGAAAGAAGACTAGTATGTTTTATTCATGTATTTGAATGGATTCATATTAACATAAGTTCATGATGTTCTCTGCAGGCAAAGGTCAGATGAGGTAAAGTGGAGCTTTAATTCTTTAAAGCATCCCACAGGAGCTGCTGGTAATGTCTGCTTTCATTCAAAAGCCTTGGCAGAGTGTAGGGGGGGGG